GTGAAACTATACGTGACGAGAGTGGACAGCCTATCCACAATTTGTCAAAACGTTGGAGTGTTGCGCTGAGCATTTTGAAAAGCAATTTGTTCGACTAGAATTGTTCGATTCTTCGCCGGCCAGTGATCGCCCTGCTCTGTGGGCTGTCCCTGGATCCACCCTCTCGCTCAGAAGTCGAACGTGAGATCGGACTGTTGAAGGAACAAAGCCGCGGGACCAGATGATCTTCCTCCAGCCCTTTTCCAATTCTGGGGACCTGCTCTTGTGGATGCTTTACATGAATTACTAGTAAAACTGTGGGAGAAGGGGACTATCTCAACCGACTAGAGCCGCTCCGTTATTGTTCCCATTTTCAAACGAGGCTCGCGTTCGGAATGCGGCAACCATAGAGGAATCAGTCTAATCCCCATCGCTTCCATAATCCTTCACAGATTATCTGGCGCTCGTGAAAGCCAGATTCGTGAGAAACAAGCCGGGTTTCGTCGGGGTCGTGGCTGCATCGACCACATCTTCACCTAGCGTCAGTTGTTGGAGCACCGTCACCCATATTGGCGGCCCACTGTAGTCGTGTTCCTCGACATCAAAGGGACATTCGATTCGGTGCATAGACGTGCACTTTGGGACTGTCTACTCAGGAAAGGTGTACCTGAGAAATATGTAAATATTATCCGAGCATTATACGCGGGTAGCTCATTCAGAGTGAGGGCTTACGGCAAGCTGTCGCCACCCTTCAATATCTCCAGCGGTGTGAGATAAGGATGGCCGCTGTCACCTTTCCTCTTCAACTTCGCTGTTGAGGAAGTCATGGAGATCGTGTTTACAGGAGACGAGTTTGAAGGTGTGGATCTGCCCCCAGGAGGACGACTTCTTGACCTAGAGTATGCTGACGATATTGCCCTAATCTCTGACAGATCACAAACGTGTCAAGCGGCACTAGACAGATTAGCACTAACTGTCCGTCACTTCGGGCTTCTCTTCGCACCCTCGGAGTGCAACGCGTTCCTCCAAGACTGGTCTGGACCGCCTCCTTCGCTGACCTTTGGTGGGGATCAGCTAGAAGTAGTTCAAAAATTCAACTACCTGGGAAGTTGTATCAGCGACCGTGGGATGAAGACGAGATCACGAACCGTATAGCAAAAGCTCGGGGCGCTTTTGGTAATCTTCGCCACTTATGGCGCCGGCGCGACATCACTGTTGCCCTTAAGGGTAGAGTCTACGATGCCGCGTTACGTTCGACCTTACAGTACGGTTGCGAAACCTGGCCCCTAAGATCGGCGGACATAAAGGGGCCACCGGTGCCTTCGTAATTTAGCTCACATCTGGTGGGAACCCCGCATGAGCAACGAGCGTGTTCGATGCCTCGTTTACTGCACAGGAAAAGGAACTGAACCGCTCAGCACCGTCATTTCACTCACCAGGCTCCGATGGCTGGGCCACGTGTTGCGCATGCCAGACCACGGACTTCCACGACGTGCGTTGTTTGCTCACCGGGGAGGTGGATGGAAGAAGAGGAGGGGTTGCCAAAGGATGACTTGGTCCAGAGGAATGAAGGCCCTCACTTCGGAGCTGGCCTCAGTTGGAGCTTCACGGCTCCCTGGTTGGGGTCCAAAAGACGGTAAACACGTCTGACCGGATACATTTGCTAACATGTCAAGTAGCCGACCTCAATGGTGTTCCTACTGTGAGTTTCTTTGTCCCTCCCCTCCACCTACGATCTCATTTGGTAGCGTAAAACGTAATAATTTTTCCTTTTACCTAGTAGCCGGCTGGTAGCTTACTGGAACGATGTCCATCCGTTGCTGGTAGTTCAGCTGGCATACAACTGTTGTATTTATTTTCCTTTTCCTTTATGTATTGCGGCACAGTAGCTGAGGTGTTCCCCGCCTCTAGCTGACGTATATAATGATGATGAGTCGGGACACCCTTCCAGATACTTTCGAATAGGGAGGTCAGTGCTATGCAGAAGACCTTACCTCCTTAAAATAGTGCAGGTGGGAGGGAATCCGGACCAACGGCATGAAAACGATTGAGGACTGTGATCGCGTTCCAGACGTCAGCCTCCGACGGAGATCTAATTCAACCGTCCATGGCTCGTCCTGCATCCCCTGAGTGAAGAGATCCGGGAGCAGGGGACCAGCTGGACTGATCTTGAAAGTGTCCCGCCCAATAAGCCATACGGCATTCCTTATTGTTTATCAGTTCACCTGCGCTGTCTCTGATTGTTGCACTGACGTCCGGTTTCCTGGGAGCAGTGATGTAGACCAACTGGAAGAGCTTGCGGCAATTGCCTACTGCTCCTGCATCCTTCATTTCGTGAGCCCTACTGGTCCACCAGGCTTCTTTGTCGGCACGTAGGCTCTACTTTAGTTCGCACCTAATAGTCCATCTGGTCATTTTGCTCAGAGCCAGGCGGGAGGTTTCTTCTGGATTCCCACAGGTTCACTGACCTTTCGTATATCAGTGGCCGATGCGATGACGATTGTTACTGCCAAAAGCAGATGCTCCTGCGTCGTGCATGGCGGCCGAGATCCTATACCACTGAAACTGAATGTCATTAGGACAAGACAGCGAAAGTTCGGTATGCAGTGCATCTTGATAGGCTTGCCTGACCGAGGACTGAGACATTTTCTTCGTTGCCAATCGGGGAATACGCTTTGTGCGCCTCCCGGTCAATTACATGGGGAAGTGACAACGTACCAAAGCATTATCAGCGTCGTCGCACGTATTCCAGTACGAGCGGTAATCCAGGATGGAACCACGCCACCTGTAACTTATGGCAATGTGGTCAATATGGGTCAATCGTTGGCCAGCTACCGGAGGACGCCAAATGGCACTTCGGCGCCCACTGTGTCTAAAAGCAGTGTTACTAAGAAACAACTGGGGTTTCACACACAGTTCCAGCAGACGATCGCCGTTGTCAGTCCGTTCGGAGTTAAGCCCATAATTACCACCCAGTTGAGCTTCTGAAGAGCTCAGACGCCCTACTTGTGCGTTCATATCCCTTGCAAACACTATAATACCTAAACTAGTAACACAGCGTAATAGCGCGATCACTTCGTGATCGAATGTGGCCTTGACAGCATTTGAACTGCAGTCGGTGAGAGCATACGCAAAAAAGACTAACAACCAGTGTTTTGTACTACTTCGTGGATCAACCTTAGCTAATGTCGTCAAAGGGGCTGCACATAAACGGCTGTTCATCGGAATCCAATCAACCAACGATGGCTCAACCTAGGAGCTTAGGATAATACCTACACCAATTTGACCCGTGAGTGCTGCATCGGCGTCTCTGGATGCGTACAACCAATAGCGAAAGGACAAACCGGGTTCAATTAGATCAGCAATTCCATTGGGGTCATTGATCCTAGTTTCGGATACACGACACATCAGTACCCACCCAGCGTGTCCAAGATGCGTGCGAGTACAGCCTGTTGACCTGTTTGTCTTAGAGTGTGAATGTTGAACGCCGCCAGGGAAACGAGACAGCGTGGCTTTATAAGAGACTGTTGCTGATAGGCGTCCGGTGCGTGTCGCGAGGTGGCTGCAGATGTTTCCCCAGTGGCACTTCAGTTGCTGTTAATTAAGCTGGTAATTATAGAAGGTTAGTAATTGAGGCTGGGATGGGAGTAAGAGAAACAGGTGGAAAGGAAAGAAGGGAGGCGCCAGCAGTAGCATGTTTTCGCTTATCCGCCCTGCTGTATGCAGCAGATAAGGCGACCCTTGATAATCTGCGCGACAGCCGATGCAGGATGAAGTTTATGTTTGAAGAAAATGTCATGGTTGTATGTGGGCTGAGATACTGTTAGGGTGCTCAGACCTAGACAGGAGGACCGTTAGGGTCCTCATCCAAAGCCTTTGGCTTAAAAGCCTGTCCGCAACGCATCGAGGAAGTTGCAATGCTTTAATAGCTTGGAACATATTTGGAACCGATCGGGAAGTCATCATTTCAGAAAACTTGGTAGACGACCGGTTAATGTATTTATGGTAATGGTCCGCTGTCGCATGTATATCAAGCGTACACCTTCGAGGGCGAGAGAACAGCTGGGGAGTTTTGCACGTATTAATGCGCGCCACACATTAAAAAGGATGCTATTTCTTGTTATGGAGCACTAAAAGATAAGTGCATACGAAGGGGATCATAATACAAACATCTAAGTATTGCATTTCAGAGTAACTTCACTGGATGCGTTTAAATGCAAACACCAACAGTGTCGCACGTTGAACTGATGTAGCTTACCGAAGAAGAATCTTCGTAGGCGTTGTTGAGCCTGGAAGGTTGCCAAAATCCTTAATTGGTCTGATTGACGGAGCAACAAAGGTCACATTGTTGTTAACGAAGCAGATGAAAAATTCCGATAAATCCGAGTGTCATGTCTCGTCGATGAGGCAATAAAAATAGGGAAGGCACTAAGGAATACACATACGTGACAGAAAGGCCAACCAGGTTTCAGAAAGTATTATGAACGACCGGTTAATGAATGTGTTGGGAAACTTTTCGCTTTAGCACGAAAGCGTAGTGGAAGAAGAGGATGGGAGGCCGAGCAATGCTTTGTCAATAGGAAAGGCCTTCATTTCGAACATCACGTCAGTTGGTGTACCCCCGACTGCTTGGCTGGGATCCGAAGGACGATGAACACGTTTGGTTGGCTACACTTGTTGACATGGCATGGAGCCGACCAGAGTAGCGTTTGTGTTATGAGTTTCTTTGTCCTTCTATTCCACGCTTATCTCCCCTCCAACCACGGTCTCACATCCGAAACGTAATATGTTACTAAGTATTATATTGCCTGTTTATTGGCATTTTTTATTAGATAACATTTTGCCTCGTTTGTTTTCAACATATCTTTTGTATTGTCGCACAATAGCTGAATTGTCCCTCACATGTAATTATGGTGATCAGTTCGTATCCATGCCGGTGCGTACCCAATACTCGTAGTCAATGTATACCCAGCTGGTTTTGATCACTGCATTGACCATAAAACCATCTTTTTATTTTACAGCCTTCATCAGAAGAAGCATATGAGGTTCAGTTGCCTTCTGGAACAACTGTTGGCCATAGAAGCCTGAAGACAATCTACCAACAAAGACTACCTGCACTCCCGATCAGCCAAGAGCCAAGAAGATCACACATGCTTGCTGCCATCGGGACTGGACAGACGGACATGCCAGTCGGATTACACACTGGCCTCATGACAGGTCGCACGTTCGATCCGCTCAAACGAATAGCCGATCGCCATTCAGAAGAATCCAGGAAAAAGTGGGAACTTGTGGTCGGACTGCGAGGGAACGATGTATATAGATCACGCCTGCGAAGGCAGTATTGATACAATTTATTTTCCTCAGAGAATCCCCATATTGTCTTTGATATATTTGATTTCATTTCAACAATTGGACACTGAGCTCTATGGGTACGCACTGAAATAATTCCCGGATGTTTTGTCGGTTTCCAGATCAATACTTCCCTATCTCTCGGATTCATCGAGCCACTAAAACAATCCTGTGGTCAGCTACTGCAAAGGCCGGCGTGTGCCGGTCATCAAGGAACGTCGGCAGCTAAATGATGACACGGCAATCAGTCTTGGCGGACGGACTCAGTTCAGTTCACAAAGTAGCGCACGAGAGTGCGCTCAAACTGAGCCGGTGATGCCAAAGATTCGGTTCATCAAAGCGTCAAACGCAATGCTCACTGCTCACCTTGATCCCGCTACGTTGAATTAATGTTTGACCGAGCACACACAAAGCACTCAACAATCGCGTAGTGCATGCTTAATGTTCATTTACCAATAAATGCTAGCCGCCGTCTAGGTCATACGTGGTTCAGGACAGACAAGCTGGTCTTTCGTGGTTCCATTCCAATTATCGTATCACAGATAGCTTCCAATCTCAGTTTGGCGCATCGCGATGGTAACACCTGGACCGTGAGTGATCCGTATCGCATCTCCGCTGGCAGTACACCTTGCTCCCGATAGAACCCAGAGGCAACCGCGGTTAGCCTTGATGATCCCACAACGTGATGATACTCGGGTGTCGGGGAAGGACGCGCACTTTTGTGGTCACGACAGTTGTCCTGCGCTTCTTTCCAATGGGATACCGTTCATCTCTATCGTTTGCATTGATCTCATAAGTTTCAACGCGCTGCGAGTGCTGTTTGGCTCAGAACAGAGGAACTAACTCCCAATAACAGGTTTTAGAAAATTTTGTATCATGGAGATATTGTGTGTGGCGATCGAATGAACTTCCACGGGTGCTGTAAAAACAGAAATGGACCAGCAATCGAGTTCGATTGTGCAGGTAGTCTATTAAGATGGATCTTCAATAACTTGAGGAACCAGTTGCTACACCCTTAAATCCCGAAAGGCGACCGCACAATTATAGATACTACCCGAATGACGGTGCCAGCGTCGGACCAAACGGCACATTAAGTCAAGTGCACCTGTTACAATGTAGACCTGAGATCTCCGCATGCGCCGCGATGCGGAGCACAGTGTCCGACTAGTTGCCGCTGGTTACTCAGATAACTAATAACGAATGAGAATTCGTCCACGTGGGGCCTCGATAATTTACAGTAGTGTTAGGTGGGCCACGAACATCCATTTGCCCTTCTTCGCTCTCAGACTGCACTGAATTGTGAGGAGAGTCGCCTACTTGGAATTACTGGTTCATCATGTTCCGTTAAATCGGAGTTGCGTGATAACTGTCAGTGGGTTTTTTCCGAGACTACATTGTGGGGCTTGGTCGGAGAATGCTTTTAAAAAGGCGCTGCTGGCGCGGAGGCAGGTGCCATACCTAGAACTGAACCAAACACGCCAGAGCAAGTGGACGATACCCGGAAAACTGCAGTTCGCCATCTTTAGGTACTCCACAACTGTTTCTAATATAGCGCTCCTAGGGTGTAGAACCATGCCACAAGGTGTTAAGACCTCTGATTCTAGGAGTTCGAGACCAGCAGCGACCGATTGTGCTTTATGTGATCCACCCTTATAGCCTACAAATGACGACGTAAACTATTCGGCAGTGCAACTTAACATGAGAATATATGCTCTGAAGGTCGCTCTAGCTCACGCACCATGGGGGATGAGTTAGGCGACATCACGATGACCAACTTGGTCTCACAGACTCGGTGGATGATAATCTTACCTTGCAGGGTCACAGCAACAGTTCGGTCCACTTCGCAACGAATTGTCGGACCATCAGATGACAGTGTAGTGTCTCTCTGAGTAAGAGAGCAGCTTGGCTGTTGATGACAAATTGCATTTCCGATCTTGAGACTGCCGATCGTTCGTATTGACCACCAGGTTGCTCGGGAAGCGCAACATTCGAGATCAAGGCGCATTTTAATAACTGGGATATATGGATGACTTTTCCAAATGCGCAAGTAGATGAGCTTGAGAAGTTTCAAGTAGGCTCTTCACAACTGGACCCAGCCCTACAGCACCCACCACCATCCTCACAAGCGCTTGATGACCGTTTCTCCCTTATGGAACTCGTTAGCAGTGTGCACTTCCCTAATATTTCAGGATTCGAACCCATGGCTGTTTAACTCACAGTCAGCAGCTTTGACTTACTTTGCAGACTGTGATACCGCTATCTCATCTCCTTGATCGTGTTCTATACTGGTGTACAGAGGACTTAGCTGGCCTCCGGGAGCACAATGTTGGGTGGTTTCACTGAAGGGGCGGGCACGCACGATCTCACAGCGTGCTAGGGATACACAGTGAGCAGGCCACGCGCGCAAGCGATCAAACCTAGTGCACTGTGGTAGCCAATCAATGAGCATTACGTAATCGGACGTCGATACTGAGGCAGAGACGACTGCACGCCACAGACATGCAAACAGAGGGGTGTAACTGACTCGCGGATGCCATCATCGTTCGTCAAACAAACAGTTTCTGACCTTTGTGTCGGATTGGAGAGCACAAAGGATCCAGAATTACAACAAACGGCTTCCCTCATTAAGTTAACAGCTGGCGTTATGTACTGTTTAGTTAAGCTAAGACACATTGAGAAGCTCCATTAGGACAAAACGTCTCCATAGACATTGGCGGCCGCTTGATTGTAAGGAAATAACTTAGCACCAGGCTAACTGGAATCAAGATTGTCGAGAAAGCACAATCTGGACAACACTGCTGTATGTAGTCTAATTTTGGCGTTGTTCAAAGAAACCATCCCAGAAGACTGGATCGCGCACAAAATGCCATGGAGTTCCATGTGTAGGATCAGAACAAGTTGTACGCAAGCAATGCACTTGCATAATCTAATAATCCACCGTGTTCGATTATTCCGGGAATGCACCAAGCTATTGCCCCTTCACCTCTTATAAAAACTGCTGTCATGCTTGGGTATAGAAGAAAGATGACAAAAAACGACTGTCCTGTTCCGGTGTTGCGTCCACACTATTTGATTCGAGTCCCTCAGAGCGAAAGAAATCTAAATGTGAACAGGTGAAGAGAATCGAGGCTACCGTTACTAAGTTATGACAACCCCATTAAATTGTAGGACCTAGCATATCGTGGTATAGTGACGAAGAGTCTTACCAAACATCAAACCGCTCTGTTCTCTCGCCAGATATAGGCAATATTTCGCAAACAACTGGATCCACTGACCTTTGGTGCATAGCTCATAAACGATCGTGTGTAAAGGTTCCTGAAAGTATTTTGAACTTTCAATACTAGTTGTCTACGTGACGTCACCGAATGGATCGGATCGGAATTCGTTACAAGAGCAGCGCGCTCTACGAACTATTATGCGGGACGGCCCGTGGAACAAGCGATCACATATCACGTGACTGAGCAGCGCGTTTTCGGCCGCTTATCCGATCTTCCAATTATAGGCCGATGTCGACGGAACGCATTCACATCGGTCAAAACAAATCTTGTACATCAAACCAAGCGATTCGAACGGAGTCACGCAGCAACGCACTGACATCACTTTCAGGTCAAACTTCCCCTCATTGATCTGTTAAATTGGACCAGTGAAGTAGCGTTGAACGGTGAAATGCAGCAAAACTCCTTGTGTGCATGCACCCCCGTCATACCGTAGGATCCCGTTGTGCAGCCATTATTTGTAATGTGGCCGTTCGCATTCAGACACCGTACTCTCTCGAGACTCGGTGGATAGCGTGCGAGTAGTTCATCACTCGTTACGTAGGAGCGGAGGTAAACACGGAAGCCAGCACAGTGTTGTACTTACAAGTGCCTGGATAAATCGACTCGCGTTTTTCAGCTAGAAGATTGTAAAAGGCAACACCGCCTGCAGTATGGACCACTTCTCTTGCCAATCGATCTCTGCCCTTTAACCTGCAGGGCCGCTACACAAGACTAGCTGCCAGACGCACTTTTAGGTTAACTATCGCACACTGAATGCTCGTGATCTACATATATGGAGTATGATCCTTTCAATAGCGGACGAATCACCCCCGCTTGTATGCCAAAGAGGCGGCTGGATGTCAGCCTATCAGTTTAAGGTAGGTAGGTGTAAGGCTGCATTAATCAGAGACCTGGCCACTTCGCGCTGAAGATATTAAGATATCTACCGAATTTTATCACCGATGCTTGCGGAATCTCGCTCACATCTGGTGCGAACTCCAATGCTGAGATCCGCCAGTCGGTGTTTGGGAAGAAACGTCCACCTTAGTGACTCACTGGAGTGGCTGTTAAAATTTAACCGCTTACGTTGTCTAGATCATGCCCTCTGTAAGCGCGTTGAGCAGCTTCTTCCCTCAACGTACACTATCTGATGTCACTGCACCAAGCTGGGCGAAACGCCGAGGTGATCAGTCGATGACGTGGCATAAAGGCATGGAGCAATTGATCTGTGTAGACTTGGTTAGACTGGAACGTGTTGTATTTGTGGATGGGGCCTTCTGGAAGGGTAACGTCAGTGATTGGAGACCATAACAGACAAGGCGCACTCACTGACATTTGGCTATCAATTTTTCTATCCAGATTAATATCATCTACAACAGTCACGATAACTGGATCCACCGTACTTCGGACCCCTTCTCATAGTTATTTGACTGGACTATGTTAAGGAATGCGTGCCCAAGAGAAAACACGAAAGTACCAAAGAAATGCTTGTTTAAAAACTGCATAAAAGTAACCAATCCATGAGAAAAAATGATAAACACTTGTTGCTGGGCCTATTCTGCTTTTTCTTTGTCATCCTTATAGTACAGGAATACAAAGCTGAAAATGACAACGCCGATGAGCATAGAAATGGCACTGAAGTAGTAGGGATATGCAGCTTCAATGAATCGTTCGTATTGCGTGTGGGTGAATGGCCGCACGGGTACCTGGAGAAATAAAATATGAAGCACATGAGTAAGTATGCGAACGGAGGATGTGAACAGCACACACACAAGCCTGGGTGGTGTGACATCGCTGCTCACCTGAGTCACACTTGTCAGATGCGTATATCCGAGGCGATGGTAATCCACGACGAACTTGAACACACCGTACACGTCCGGTAGTCTTAATTCAGTGCTGTGTTTTCCATCTAGAAAAAACGAAAGAGACAAGTGAGAATATGTGACAGGATTGAGGAGTATGAAAAATGTTGTGAAATAAATAAATCATATGATTGCTCATAAGTCTCTCTAAAACTGACTTTTCGATCTGTTCCAAGTTTTAAGATAGAGCAGATTATAAAGACCTCCATTTTGGGATACCCTGCTGTCATTTGAAATATATTTCTCGACGACGCAAGATACAGTAAGTTGCGAGAAGGATGATAGTAATAATGCACCAGCAACAGGAGTTCCCAGACATCAGTCACTATCGAATATAAAGGTTGAGTATTTAGGTATTCCAGTTGCAGATTAACTATGCCCGAATGCAAAGTGTGATGGCACCTGAGAGAGGGTGAACGAAGTTGAGGCGGGGCCGGTGGACGGGAAACCGAGACACCGACCAGATGACGGAGTCCATCCGGTTTGTTAGAAACGAAGAGCAGCGTGTTCGCAGGTGCACCGGGTTTGTCCGGACCACAAGTACGCACTAAGACCGGCTGACAACGCGGGGTGCAATGGTTACTGGTCAAGTGAGCGAGCGAAGCAGGCTGAACAGAACGGGAGTCAAACGCCGCCCACGCGAGCTGAACAAGATTGCACGGGCCAGACTCAACACACAATTGACGTGAATTGGCCCAGGAAAGGACAGGCGTGGGTCCGACTACTCACCGTGCGTGCAGACTATTGAGCATAATCAGATGATTTGAGATGCGACAAAGGGAAATATCTCATGGAAATCCAGAATAAGTGATTTTATGGTTCATTAGTAAGTTCTGTTCGCTACCCAGACTTCGTTTTGACTTTGGGAGATCCAAACGACACAAAGTATGCCATAAGACCCATCCGAGAGCGCGATGCACACAAAATGCGTTGATGGTTGGAATTTGCTTGCGTACACGATCATCATCAGTGTGTACCTTCAAGTGCTTTTATATTATGAACGAAAGTCAGGTCTGTTTGCAAGGGAGCAAAGAATAGGCACGTTAAACATTAGCTTGGTCACAAAAATGATACCAAGCAAATTTATTTTTAGCTTGAATTCACTTCAATGAGGCTATTTCGTCTAATGGCTCGCCCTTTCGGGGCTATGGTTGTAGGTGGTTGGCCGACTGGTCGCACTCAACCGTTGTGACTTATTGGCGGCTGTCGAGACGGTTTCCTGTATACTCTTGTTAGATTGCATAGCAAGCTTCGCTTTCATCCACAACAGCCCACAAGGCTGTCACACCTGAGGAGTTGCTAATGTTCCACTAGAAAAGAATGTAGTATACATAGCATTCTGATTTTTTGTAAATTAGGTTCCAGCACTCGAGGCATTCACTAACAATGCTTTCATGATAGGTACCACGAAGAAATGTTGCATAACCGATGGGAATCGAATAGCATCGTTGCTCACATACACCGTAGAGTTGAGGGCTCCAAAAGTAGACGCAGTATGCTATCGATAGCCGCCTCCCAACAAATCATGGACATTGTCGACGTCGCGAGTAGAGAGAGGTGAAGTTAACCTGTTCTCTCATCGTTAGAGCTTATGAAATTGGGGCATCGTTTTGGTTTGTATCCCGAGTGATGGCTTCGGCGTTCGTAAACACAAAAGAAGAACACTCATATGCGCTCAGGAACAGATATCGATCCATCATCAATGAAATTGAAAAGATGAACGAATTGTCATCATCGTGCTCACTGCCAGAAGTTCCAATCCCACCGACTATATTACGCCGCATCCAAGCTGCCAGGCATTACCTTTCTTGTAGTAATGAACAAACTGCCGGAAGAGTAGGCTATGAAATCAGAAAGCACTGTGCTGCTGTCCATCTCAAGTACAGAAGACGAGACATAGGCCCAATAATGAGGTGACGCATATCGGTCCAAAACCAGACTGTTATGTTTGGCGAGGATGTTTGGCATATTATCTTCCATCTTCCAATAACAATCCATGGAATACCATTGCTGTTACTTTATCTCCAATGCAAGGGAGGGGGAATCAGAAAGATTATTGTGCGCATGCTCAAGGAAATTTGAGATAAATCTACTGTGGGACGTGGTTTCATAAGCGGATCAATGTAGTGTGACTGGATGGCTGAGAATAGCCGTCGTTGCAGTATTGGTGGCGAATGTAAATCATGATCAGACCATCAGCGACAGGGTTGGAAGGAAATGTATCGTGTCTTCCTGGTTACAATCCGATAGAGCGACGTACAAATGCAGCCCTTATTGTGGGGTTTCCCTTGTTCCTCTGAACGACACTATCACTGGACAAATGTCTCGAAAAACGTGTCAGTGAAACATGTGAGAATACAAAATTAGATTACTAATTAACGACAGTATGGTTACCTGTGTATTTCATGGTACGTCGGATGAATGGATCGATACGAACAAATTCCAACTGTACATCGTCAGCCTGATAAGGGACCCATTGATTGAATTCATTCTTAGTTTCGATTTTGATTGCGTAGTATACATCTTCCATTATGGTGTACTGGCTGGGTGGGATACTTTCGCCTTTCCTGTGGTGCTCCACGGACACGACTCGAAGTTGGCCATGCTCTCCGAGGACCCATGGGATGAGGTTTCGTAGTAAGTTCAGATTTCCCGATGTAGGAGCTCTGAAACAGCAGAACAAACATTAACACCTAAATTGGATACACCGGGTCACGTGTCCAGTAAACATCAAAAGATCAAAACGATAGAAAATAATTCTCTAACCGTTAGCTGGACGTAAGAAATGCCTTCGATATTGTGCCCTAAAACAACGCAGTAAGATTTACAGGAAACGGAAAAAATATAGCACAATAAATAGTAAAAAGCACATGATAGAAACAAGTGATGTTACGCTTTTTATTGTTATGCATCAACACATGGTGGTTGGAGAGAGAAGCTAGGCGGAATGAAGAGGGACAAAGCAACTAACAACTCAAGCGTTCCTGGCCATATCAACAAGTGTCTCCAACCAAACGGTTTCATCTGCTTAGGGCCACAGCCAGCAGGTCGACAGGCCCTACATGAGACCAGCTTCAACATAAGCGTCTTCCTTTCTCTAGACCGAGTCGTCGCCCGGCCTACTCTTCTTCCACACAGAACCCGGTCGTGCAAACAAAGCACTTCGCGGGAATCAGTGTGTTGGCATGAATAATAATGTGTTAGCTGTACGCCGTAACGGCGCTTCGCTGCCGCGCGACCAACACCAATCGCGCGTGGGCTGAGTATACCGCAACCCACCGTGACTTCGTCAATGGATATCATCATCATTATTATACAATTTAGCTGAGGGTGGAAAACAACTCAGCTATTGTGCCACAACACAAATGACAAGGAAAAGTGACAGCGTGCCTCATAGATCCATTGAGCTATACTGGGGTGTTTTCTTGCAACTTCAGAGTCACTCATACCAGATTAGTCAGACAAACTCAGTCTCCTGGTCCTGCAGGTCAGGGGTTGTAATGAGGGTGGCTCCTTATTCCATAAAACGGGCTCATCGTAGTCCAGTGTCAAAAGGTAAGGTTTTTGAACCAAAGACTTTGGTTGAGAACACTGTCTAGGCCTGAACAACCTGACAGTATTCTGCCCACACAATACAATGAACCCTTCTAACAATTTCCAGGTGCAATTTCGGTTGCATGGAGCAAAGTGGATAAGGGTATGTATTCCTCTGCTCAGTCCTTCTCGTCTCCTTATCCCATTTCTTGCGCTTTTTATCCTTATCGTCCCGTTCCAACTTTACTTTTAGCCCCTCATTTTCAATCCCCCAATTCTTGGCCTTCCCCCAGCTTGCTTGAATAGTCGCTTGTCCAGTTTCAACACACACAGTCGCAGGGCGTCACTCCAATCCAGTCGACAAGTCCATGTTCAACCAAGCGGACAATGTCAGTTCATCCGTTTCCCTTTGGAGTCCTCGAGTCTCACTAAGATTGCTATACCTCAACGTGCGCACTTTGCTACATATTAGCCAACAGGCAGCACTTGACCGAACACTCGAGACCCTATCGATCGATATTTGCTGTTTATCAGAAACCCACCTGCAAAATTCGAGCTCCGTGCTTACCCTGCGACACTGGCGGCACATTCTCATTGCGCCTGTCTCGCGATGATGCAGCTTCAAATGCCGGTCAACCTGGTGTCAGCATCGTTTTGAGTCCCCGGGCTGAAGCTGCCCTGGTCGACTGGACCCCAGTCAACAGTCGGATGTGCGTCGCAAGGCTGGTTGGCTCGTTCTAGGCTTCGAAGTCGTGCGGGAACAAACGGTGCCTGTTTGTCATTTCGGTCTACGCCCCTACAAAATGTAGCGTTGATTCGGTGAAAGATGATTTCTATCAGCAACTTTACGATCTCCTTCGTTACAGAAGAAGCACGGATACTGTGGTGTTGGCTGGCGATCTAAACGCCCAACTCGGAAAATTGTCCTCGGATGAGCATCACCTGGGCGACCAACAGCGTATAGGTTCCCGTAATGATAACGGTGACCGGTTGCTACACCTAAATAAAGGTGCTCCTCTCTTTCACGCGAGCACACCTTCGACACAGCACCAGCAGAAGAGTAACTTGGAGCCCACCATTCTCGAGCCAGCTGTGGAGGAAAATCGATTATATTATGATTAGTTACCGCTGGAGAGGCTGTGTCCAAAACCGTCACTCGATTTGGAGCACCACCGTGGACTCCGATCACGCTCTCGTGTGTGCCGACCTGCCAACGGATTACGACGGACGTCCGCAACGTGCCTCTGAACGAATTGAAACCAGCCAGCTGTTCTGAATGCATATCAAACTACGCTGGCATTTGGTCTGAGTAAGCGTACACTGAACACCGTTGAAGATCAGTGGTCGCATATTCGTCAAATGTTACTATCAGCAGGCATGTTTTCATGTGACAAATCAAATTGCCAAACTGGACATTGGGTCTCTATCAAGTCTCTGGAACTTATGGATGCTTGATGACATATTCCGACTGGAAGCGAATACAATGAGACTCGCAAAAATCTCGAGGTGAAACTGCGTGCTAGCATTAAGGAAGACCGCGAAGCCTGGTGGTCTCATCGTGCATCTGAGTTGGAAACAGCCGCTACCGTTGGTAATCGTCGTAAGTTATCCTGTTTAATACGGGAAACAGGCAGTAGGAGACCTGGTATTAGCGGGAACATACGCGACGAGAGTGGGTAGCCGATCCACAGCCTGTCAAAATGCTTGGGGCGTTTGGTCGAATACTTTACAAGGCAGTTGAATCAACCTGAGTTATCGCTTTATTTTTGGAGCGTTAAGTGCCCTTCTCTATGGGTCGTGTCCTTAGATCCGCCCTCACGCGCAGAAGTCGAACGTGAGATCAGAATGTTGAAATTGCATAAGACCGCAGAGGCAGATAGAATTCCCGAGCCCTCTTCAAATTCGGGGACCTGCTCTAGTAGGTGATTTACACGAGTTGCTAGTGAAACTTTGGGAGCAGGAGACTGTCCCAACCGACTGGAGCCGCTCCGTCATAGTCCCAATTTTCAAGAGGCTTCCGTTCGAAATGAGGCAATCATAGGGGATCAGTCTGATATCAATTACCTCTAAATTACTTGCTTCTGTCGTTCTCCATAGACTTACTGGCGCTCGTGAAGGCCAGATGCGCGAAGAGCAAACAGGGTTTCATCGAGATCGGAGCTACATCGACCACAACTGCACTTTGCGTCAATTGTTGGAGCACTGCCATTTTTATTGGCGACCCACCGTTCTCTGTTTCTTGACATAAAAGGTGCACTCGATTCGATGGATCGTGCCCTTTGGAACTGTCTGCTGAAGAAAGGCGTGGCTGATAAATATGTACACATCATCAAAACGCTGTACGCGCATAGTTCGCGCAGAGTGAGGGTTTGTAGCAAAGTTTTGTCTCATTTCAATATCTCCAGCGTTGTGAGACAAGTTTATCCGCTGTCACTATTCCTTTTCAATTGCGCTATTGAGGAAGTCACGGAAACAGCGTTCCTTGGACACGACCTACAAGGTGTGAAGCTACTTCCGGGTGACCGACTTCTTGACTTGGAGTATGCGAACGACATCGCCCTCATATGTGACAGTGGCCAAACGTCAACCTGCACTGAACCGATTAGCACTGACTGTCAATCGTTTTGGGTTATGCTTTGCTCCATCGAAATGCAAAGTAGCTCTCTAAGATCGGCAGAGACCCACCCCTGTGCTGACCCTTGGTGGTGATCAGCTACAAGCCGTTCAGGAATTCAAATATCTGGACAGCTACATTAGCGCCCGTAGGATCGGAGAGGAGATTACGAAGGGTATAGCAAAAGCTCGAGGTGCTTTTGCCAATCTCCGCCACCTGTGGCGCAGACGCAACATTACTCTCTCGCTGAAGTGTAGACTGTATAACGCAGACGCCTGTTCAACCCTCTTATAAGGTTGTGAAACCTGGACCATCAGGTCGACAGACATAAAGAGGCTAGCGACTTTCGATTATCGCTGCTTTCGCAGATTAGCTGATGTCTGGTGGGAGCACGGCGTGAGCAACTAGCGTGTTTGGTGTCGCGTATTTGGTGCAGGAAGAGCGAGTGAACCGCTCAGCATCACTATATCACGCACCAGACTCCGATGGTTGGGTCACGTGTTGCGTACGTCAGCACACCGAAACCCGCGACGTGCATCTTTTGCGCGCCGGGGGTGTGGTTAGAAGAGGATGAGGGGAGGCCAAGCGATGACTTGGTCAAAAGGAATGAGAACCCTCATTTCAAAGTTGGCGTCGGTTGGTGCATCCCGACTGCCTGGCTGGGGTCCTAAGGACGATAAACACATTTGGTTGGACACACTCGCTGGTATGGCTAGGATCCGGCCCCAATGGCGTTTGTGCTGTGACTTCCTTTGTACATTACCCTCTTGCTTAGTCTCCTCCTCCAACCACGATCTCATTCGTTAGGCATACTATAATAATAATAATAATGCGAAATAACTCTTTTTCGGCATGACAGCCGGCTGTTAGCTCCCCGGAACGATGTCCATCCGTTAATGGAGACTCAGCGTGCGTCTTGTATATTTTCTTCTTGGCTTTTGTATTGCGGCTCAATAGCTGCGGTGTTTTCCACCTGCAGCTGGTATAATGATGATGATGCAGTTGGGTAAGTTCGGTTGTTCGAGAAAGTTTGTAAGTCTAACTGGATGCCTGCATAGTACTATGCAGGCAAGGGTGCAGCTGAATGGACAGACCTCGGATGAGTTTGCAGTTATCTCTGGTGTGAAGCAAGGCTGTGTCTTAGCTCCTGCCCTGTTTAATATTAATCTTCATGTCATGACGTGCTTGATACGGCTTGTGCTTACGGTGTTCGTGTAAAGCATGGTATGATTAGTGGGTTGTGAACATCCATCGTTTCAGTGCGAGAACCGTAATCTGTGAGAGAACTATGTTACTGACCGCTGACGACTGCGTTGTTTGCACACAGTGCGGATGAGTTGCAACACATGTCTAGTGCACTGGCTTCGACAGCGGCCAAATTCGGGCTCACCATCAACAAAAGCAAAACTCTCTCTTTCAGCCTTCACCGGAAGTGCAATATGCAATGTCGAAGTATTGGACACGACTTGCCGCTTCTGCTACCTTCAGAATGTGGTTTCGACTGACAAGTAAATATATGATGAGCTTCGCATCCGCGTATCGAAAGCAGCGGCAGCATTCGTGAAGCTTGCGTACCGAGTGTGGAACAACCATCAGCTTACCGTCGGCACGAAGCTGATGGTTTACAAATCCATGGTGCTGTCCGTGCTTCTATACGCCAGCGAAACGTGGACGATGTACCGGCGATATGTGAGATATCTCAAGCGGTTCTATCAACACTGTCTGCGAGGGATTCTGCGCATCGGTTGGTGTGACAGAGTTGCAGACACGGAAGTGTTGCGCCGTAGTGGAATGTATGCAGTGGACTGTTGAGAACATAATCACAATCGGTGCAGCGTTGGTAGGTACGCTGCATGCACTTCCATTCGATGTACTAACCGCGTGCTTAATTACTGAGTTTCTTTTTTAGGCGATTGGCTTGCTATATTGTCTTAGTGCTTATTTTATTGTCTACCTGAATAATCTATTAACTTGCACATGTCGCTTAAACGAAAGGTGGTCAACTACATTTATTTTTTTATTTGTTCCGTATGCTTTTTGATCTCTTGTATGTCATCATGAAGTTAAAGCAGCTATGTTGATAAACTATTTATTTAATATGCTACTTTAGCGAAGAGTTATGTCGGCATATCCGAATGGGGGTTTCGATCTATTTTATCTGATATTGTCATTTCAAGTGATTGGATATTGCTTGACATCCCCGATGTAGCTGCGCATTATATCCTTGTTCAGAAAATACCTACTTATTTATCATCATTTACCTACTTGTCTATTACGCGCTACCACATCTAAAATGGCTACCGGAGACAGCTGGTCGTTGCTGGAGTGGACGGGGTGCACGGCTCTCGTGGCCGTGGTTCCATCCAGTGTGGAGCGGACTACGGTCCAGCCACCGCCTTGTGTGCGCTTGATTCCGAAATGCTGTGTGCTTGTGTTTGCCTGTGAAGAAGTGTGGGCCGGCTCCGTTGATGAAACGGGGCTTCCATCCACATGCCACTCGGTCTTATTCTCTCTCTCTCTCTCTCTCTCTCTCTCTATATATATATATATATATATATATATATATATATATATATATATATATATATATATATATATATGCATGGTTGGCGGCATCCGGTTTCGGATTTGCCTGTCACTGTGGCAAGCCACAGGACGCCTGCGCCTACAGAGGGACCATGGATGGCTTGCGCTGCACCACCCACAGCTCCAACCACACACCCCATATCCAGCGTAAACCCGAAGGAATAAGACCGGGAGGCATGCGGATGGGAACCACGTTTCATCAGCGGAGCCGGCCCACACTCCTTCACAGGCAAACACAAGCACACTGTATTTGGGAATCAAGCGCACACAAGGCGGTGGCTGGACCGTAGTCCGCTCCACACTGACTGCATGAAATCACTCTTTGATCCTAACACGGCCACAAGGACCGTGCACCCCGTCCCCTCCAGCAACGACCAACTGTCTCCTGGAGCCAGTATGGACGAGGTAGTGGGTAATAGACAGGTAGGCACCTTGTCAACATGCACATCAAGCGCATCCACACCGGGGATATCAAACAACAGCCAAACACTTGAAAGAGAGAAAGAAAAAGAGAAAAACTCGATTAATGCATAAGGAAACGGTGATATAAACCTTAATTAAATAGCATATGTAATAAGTTGATTACAAACAAATCCTAGCTAAGTGCACGAGGTCAGGAAAGTATAGTTCACGGAATGCCACGAACGCAAAAATGTTATGGAAATCGAATACAATTGGCTTAGGCGATGTGTGCAAGTTAATGAATAGAGTACAGGGAGATATTTATATGAGAAAGAAAAGCATTAAGGTAAAAACTGTAAACCCACCACCTGAAAGAAAGAGACTTAGCATGCAAGCACGCGGTTAGTAAATCGGGTTCAGCGTGCCTACAAACGCTGCGCCGGCTCGCCGTAATTCTCTGCAGGACCCGTCGTCGCTTCTGTAGTGGCCCCAAAGGGCCTAGCTCATGGCCCACTAGACATTTATATGAGAAAATATATATATACATATATATATATATACATATATATATGCTTGATATCCCTTATATGGGTAGTTCAGGTTCACAGGATAGCTAGCTTTTTACACAATTAAAATGATTTTTTGGAATATGAAGTCTGGAAAAATAAACCTAAATTTTCCGTGATGAGCATGAAGTTCAAAGATGGGGTCCAAATGATTTCAGAGGGTATATTGTATGAAACACAAACTCACCGGACGGTTGAATCAAATTTTTCTACATTATTGGTCAGAAAGTCATCAGAGAGGAAATCCAGAGAGCCAAAGAAAAGAGCCCGGGCATTGTTACGTGCTTGGAGGGCAACGATCAACTGCGTGTTGTTGCCGACGGTATTTGGATAGTCGCTCAAAGGCTTTAACGGATTATAACTATAAGATGTAGGTCCAGCATGAAGAATATTGATAAGCAATGGATTAGCAGTGTTTGCCGACATACTGGAAAGGTGTAAAAATTGTTATGATCCTACCCAACACCGCGATAAAGGAACGGTGCATGGCCACTATGACCGGTAATCACGGAAACGTTGATGAGATTATGTGGAGGCACCACTAGGTAGGTATGCTAACAACATGGTACAGTAGAACTGAATCTTACCGTTCCGTCATCCTTGGCGTCATAGTTGTGGTGATCGATGACGGAGGCTTTCTCATCATCGAATTCAATACCGCATTCACTACCAAGTGTGCGCATAGCCTCTCCGATTTCAGAACTTGCAGCGACTATTAGATTCCCTCCCTCATCTAAGAATTTCACTATACTCTTAACATCCAAAGTGCCGCCAAACTCTGTCCGGAAATAAGGAAGACAAAAACCCACCAGACACGGAGGGCGAAAGTAGGACCAAGTGTCCGTAAGTATACTCTCCGTATTGCATCAGCGTATTAGTTGCATCGTCCGCAAGTCGTATAGCCAAGTTATAGCCACGGTCTGCAGGGTAAAACGAAGTTAAGACAAACCTGTGAAAAGCTTAAGGAACTTCGAATGTGTTTCCTTAACCCACGTATTTTCCATCAAGACCAAAACATTTCTAGACCTGTCGGTATCGTCACACAAACTGGAGGCGAGAAGGGTAAAGAGTATCAGGACTCGCAACATCTGTGTAGTATGCGTCCGGTTAATGGTTCCCGGTGCTTCAGTGTCCAGGGGTACGTGAGTCGTAGTAGACCGAGGCGGCTGAAATGCAAAAGAGATACTTCATAGGCGACTGGACAGTTACATCTCAATCACAGTAAGATTCGGAGCTGGATGGAGGGTGTGTCTGTGTTACACCTCGTCGCGAGCTGGACCGCATTGTCACAGCTGCTGATGGAGGACCAAGCATCAGGAGACTGGATGGATGGCGCGAAAACATGCACGAGGGATGACTGCTCTGATAAAACAAGTTCGAGTTCAAGTTCAGGTGGGACTGGAACGATAGGATGCATCCCGTAAGTGTTTTTTCTTGAGCAAGTCGTTGATCTAGTTGATTTCGGGTGCTCCGACTTTTTGACAGATGTGAAAGGAAAATACCCGAAGCACACCCCGGTCCACCAATTAATGCCAACGTTCCCTGCACTAGCAGTCCCTGCTATGCAAGTTACCTGAGGTAAGCAAGAGAGGAGGAGAAATCGAAGGTAAATAGTAAAGAAAATCTTTTGAAAAAAGGATAATACCAATGGTGAGGGAAAGTACAGAAAACAGAATCGAAGTATGAAGATGGGAGTTAGTCAGGAAAAAGGAAAGGTTCCGTATTGCCATCCAATGCTCGATACGATATCCGTGTCTCCGTCGGCCGGTGGTCTGCACGTTTGCTTTGCAACCATAAAGGTCACCGGTTCGAATCCGCGTAGGAGTGGGCATCCTCACGGTATACTCAGCCCGCGCGCGACTGGGGGTGGTTGCGCGGCAGCGAAGCGCCGTTATGGCGTACAGCTGGCACATTATTATTATTATTATAAAACGATCGGACCGTGGTTTGTCTATCTTCATGCAATGCCCGCACAGACCAGATAATCTACCAGGACTAAATAGCCAGAACAAGTCCAGGCCAACTTCCCCAGATAAGATACAGTAGGTTAGAAAGAATTCGGAACACTGGTAGCCGGGTTGGTTGCTCACCAGTTGATCGGCTCTCGGAGCTTGAAAAATGAGCAGTGTATCAAGTTCGGAGAACCGATCAACAGTTGACGTTACGTTAAGATTAGTTCCCTCCTAATCCTACGACAGTGCATTGAATGCATCCCCAAACTAAGTAGGCTTTCGGGGTAAGTTAGTCACATGAAACTATCGACCAACCTAGTACCGGCACGCAACACCCTTTCTAGTGTCATTTTGTCGCGGACAAGGCACGATGGACAGGCCTGGATGCAATATTCTGTGTGGGGTCGCACGGAGGCTGTGCTTCACAAATAGTCCAGCTGCTAGGGTCCCGAAAGAACGACGGATAAACCACAACATCCGGAACCATTAACTAACCACCTTCTCGAAGGCTGGTCGTTTACCCATCGACTGGAAAACTGGGATCGAAACGCCTAAGTACAAAGGCGGAAATCGTCAAGACCCTGTGAACTATCGTCTAATCCGTTTGACATCCATCGTCTGTAAAGTCATGAAAAAGATTATCATAAGCGCTCTACAGAAGCACTGCGACGAAAATAACATCATTACCTCTACCCAGCATGGTTTCCAGAAGGGACGCTCCTGCTCCACCAATCTACTAGTGGCGAGAGATAAGTGGGCGAGGTCAAGTGATGCCGGACAACGCACAGATGTGATTTTTGTCGATTTTAGCAAAGCGTTCGACAAAGTCCTACACCAACTACTACTTTAGAAGCTTATACAAATCGGTATCAGTGGCAGCCTTCAGTCGTGGATTTGCGACTTCTTGGAAGGTTGGATCATGCAAGTGAGAGTGAACGAGACGCTTTCCATGCCAGTGCTCATGACAAGGGGTGTTCCACAGGGATCCGTCCTTAGACCTGAACTGTTCTAGTTGTACATCGGTGATCTTCCGGCAACACTCCAAACCGAATTCAATGACCTCAAGCTGTGGTCTGAAGTGCCTGAACTTGACGCCGCTGATCGACTACAGGTGACCCTTGATCTGTTGCACAGCTGGCCCATCAAGTGGGGTCTACCAATAAGCTACAAAAACTGCTGTGTTCTGCCGATCGGGGCTTCTGAGCCACTTGGAATTTACCACATTGGTGGGTTCCTCCTTAAACAAGCCGCTCAGGAGAAAGATCTAGACGTAATAGTAGAAATTGATCTAAAAACCACATAGGGTACACTGAAAAAGGTTGCCACTGAAAACAGGATGTGCTGTGCCATAAGAAGATCCTTCTGTCGGATGACACCAAAGATCTTCAGGCTCCTGTTCACTTCACATGCACGACCGATTCCAGAGTATGGGTTGCCAGCTACGTTTCCACTCACTAAGTTCGAATGTGCCTTAATCGAAAATGTCCAGGGTCATCGCTCTAAGTCCGTTTCCGGGCTTCGTGACCTTCCGTACCCCCCTCCGGCTTCAGATGAATCCGTTTTTCGTGGAATACCGTCGCTGTCGTGAAGACCTCATCTTTACGAGGCACATACTAAGAGGGGAACATGGTAACGAACTACAGCAACTTTTTCAGCTCAACATAGGTGGCTCTACACGAGGTCACAACTGGAAGCTATTCAAACCGAGGAGGCTCAAAGTCAGCACCGCTGTCGCCCTCTCCACTCGCGTAGTGAATGACTGGAATCGTCTTCCGGCGACTGTTGTTGATGCGACGACTGAGGAATGTTTCAACCGATTTTTAGATACGCACCTACGCAAGACACCAGGGTTGCACTGTCCTACTGCGACTGCTCCGGTTCCCTGAGGACTACTGGGTCGCATTGACATATGTGATCTTAGTGCTGAACTGAAGGTGATGAGGCTAACATGGGTCCTCCGCTCTGCCCTCTACTACTCAATGAATGAACTCCAGGGTGTAGAGTGAAACAGCGGACGATAACTTAATCAACCTGAGGAGTCACGTGAGGAAGTTCACTAAAATTAATAACATAACTTATGGATGAATCCGGCGCTCGGGTACGCAGCACTGAACACTGTCCGATTTATGGGCAGAAACCACAAGACAGACCATTCTCTGAGTCTATTCAGAGCCCGTTGAAGAGCCGCAGGTCTTCCAAGGACATCAACTATATTCCAAAGCATTAGATCATCACTAAATAAAAGCGATGGCACCTCAAGCTCCTCAGGCAAGTCATCTATATAGATCGTGAACAACAGCGAACGCAGGACAGAGCCTTGCGGAACGCCGCTAAGGATAGCTCGTCGAAACGAAAGACTACTTCCCACACGAATACACTGTTCCCACCCATCCAGAAAAGTTGACACCCACTGGAAAGTGCGACCAAATATTCCGTACGACCGCAACTTTAGTGAGAGTCGCGAATGGAAGACAGTGTCAAAGTAATTGACGAAGTCAGTGAACAGCACGTACACTGCGTGCCCACAGTCTACGGTTTCAGCCCAGTTCTCGCGAGCTACCAGTAAGTTCGTTTGCCACGAAAAACCTTTGTGAAAACCATGTTGCCCAACGCTAAGCTGGTAAAATTACTCAAGTGGTTCTCCACCGAATCTCCTACTAATTTCTCAAGTAATTTAACCACCACGCTGTAATCAAACGGTAGGTGAATTGAGAAGGCGAAGAGGAGAGGAAACGACAGTCACAAACTAGGTTACGCTCCACGACATCTTACTTGTTGGCTTGCTAATGGCGACAGTTGAACGCACTATAACCTGGAAAGCCGTGCTTCACAATGGTCAGTTATAACCGGCGAATGCGGTCGCGAGGTGTAATACGGTGACGCGAAGCCGTTTAAAGGACTGACGTAGTCCGGTTTACCTTACTTTTGCGTTAATTTCCACCTACCAACTTGACACTTTGTAAGGTGGAAATAAAACAGCACATTTACATGCAATCAAATGTTTTTTTTGGATAACTGAAGCTCAAGTTCAATTGGGACAGGAACGGCAGGTAATTTCCATGGGTCTTCCTTCTTTAATGCGTGGTTGAATCAGGATAGTTCGCGGGATGGATTTGATACCGAGGAGAGCCAAATCAATAAGCACGAATCATATCACGGTCAAGCAAACAATGCCCACGCGGCACTGATTGATTCAGTTCGCCCAGAATAGCTCAGTAGAAGGTACAACGGTAGTTAAAGTGGGACTGGAACAATAGGATTATCCCGTAAGTGTTCCTTCTTCGGCGGGTCGTTGAATCAGGAGTTGGCGGACTTTGAAATACTGATGGACCTAATACAAAGACTGCATCACCCTCTGTCCAACCAATTAATGCCCACGTACCCTGCCCTAGCAGTCCCTGCTGGGCCGGTTACGTGAAGTAAGAGAAAAAAGTAAACTCAGCAGGCAAAAGAGAAAGTGGAAAGAGCTAAGCAAGTGGAATACCAAGATATTTGAGTCATTAAAAGAAGAACTAAAAAGTGAAGGTGAGTAATGGGACGGAACCAGCCAATGAGAGCGTTTTACGCTGAGGGCTATTGATTTAGCCATAAATTGAATGTACCGTTAGTTTGGACGTTAAGCAAATAGACTTGCCAGCCGTACGCAGGTCTCCTGCTTTGGGAAGTCGGGCTAATCAGAGTGCACGCTAGCAGCAGGTCATCGGTAGGTCAGCCGAAACCTTAACATATATTTTTGGCGACGGAGGTGGGATCAAGATGTCAATTTCAGCGGAAGACCTGAAAACCATTTTGTTGCAGCAACAGCAGCAATTTGAAACAGCACACCTGCGTATGATTGAAACCCTCACCCAAATGTTATCTGTGCAGCCTACGGTCGTTCAGAACAATGGGAAGCCTTCGGCGGATGCGATGATCAGTAGTGTTAATGAGTTCATATTCGATCCTGACTCAGGATTAATATTCGATGCGTGGTTCAGGCGCTATGAAGATGTTTTCAGGGCAGAGTTGTCAGGTCTCGATGATGCATCTAAAGTTCGCCTTTTGTTACGAAAACTCGGAACGGTTGAACATGACAGATACATTAACTACATTTTGCCAAACAACGCGCATGATTTCAGCTTTGATGATACAGTTGCTCGACTCACAGCGTTGTTTGGAGACCAGTCATCTCTTTTCAATAACCGATACAATTGTCTAAAGCTATGCAAAAAGGAC